CATACTCACGATAGGTGTTGGTGCAGTTTTTGCATCTTTCATACCGAATTCCTTTAGTAATTTTTCTATTTACTTAACTTGGTCCAGTTTTAACATTCCCTTAACCATTGTAACATTTAAACCTAGAAAGCTTTCAAAAGTATTATAAAATTTTACATTGAACTCTGCGGCTAATTTTTCTTTTATACATTTTAAATCTTTTAAGTTTTTAGAGAAGACGATGCCATCGTCTACGTATAATCCTAATATTATTCCTTCTTTAGATATAAAAACACATTGATCGGATGGTATTGGTTCGAGTCCATTTCGTTTTAAAAATGTTTTAAAATGATAATTCCACTTTATTGGTCCCTGCTTAAGGCCATATAAGGCCTTTTGTAATTTGAATACTTTATTTGAATTTTCGAAGCCCTCTGGGAGTTTAATATAAATTTCTTCGTCCAAGTTACCATATAGGAATGCAGCTTTGATGTCGAATTTTAGTGTGTGATAGCTTTCTTGAACCGATAGAGCCATTAAGAGTCTAACGACACTTGGATGTAGTACAGGGCTATATGTTTCGTCATAGTCAATGTCCTTTGTTTGTTCAAACCCTCTAACTACCAAGCGTGCTCTATATCTTCCGTCCTCTTTAATTTTAAAGACCCATTTGGCACTTAGTATTTTTTTTATTTTGTATTTGATCAGGGTTCACTTCTATCCAAGTTTTATTCTTCTCAAGCGAATCTTTCTCTTCTTGAATGGCTTCTTTCCATTTATCTGAATCCTCTGCATTCATTGCCTCTTCATATGATAAATGTACGTAATAGTTTCCGTACCTTTCCGGGATGTTTCTTTGTCTTATGCTTCGTCTAGTTGTTTCTTGATTTTCGGCTTGCGTGGTTGTTTCTTCTCCTGTCGTGGTTTCATTTTCTTGTGTTTCTTCTGTATTAGAATCTTCTTCTAGTTGTTGAGTATTTGGTGTTTCTTCCGTTGCAGCATTTTCGTTTCTTTCTTCATTTTCTATTCTAACAATTACATTTTCTATTTTATCTTCGTTCTTTGATTCCTCTTCAATTCGATCATTATCATCAAAAATTACATCTCGTGCGTTTATAATTTTCCTTTCATTTTTATCCCATAGACGATATCCGTTTGTAGAGTATCCTATCATTATGTATTTCTTACTGCGCTCGTCTAGTTTCTTCACATATCCAAGTTTCTTACAGAAGGCGTTGCAACCGAAAATCTGCAAATTTTTAAGATTAGGTTTATTACCTAGCCAGTTTTCCGTTGGCGTTTTATCATTTGCGTTGGTGGGGCTTCTGTTTATTAGATACGTTGCAATACGCACTGCCTCTCCCCACATTTCTTTATCTATTTTTGCGTCCAGTAATAATGCCCTGGCCCTTTCTAAAATTGTTCGATTTAGACGTTCAGCTCTGCCGTTCAATTGAGGTGTGTACGGTATTGTATAATCTAGAATTGTACCATTATTCCGGCACCATTCTAACAGCTCTTTATTCGTGTATTCTTTGCCGTTATCGCATCTGAGTTTCATTACTTTGTTTTCCCATTTTACTTGACACTGATTTAAATATCGTTTCACTATCTCCGTTACTTCAAATTTTCCTTTTATAAGAAAAACAGCTGTAAAATGCGTAAAGTCATCTAGAAATGTCATAAAGTATTTCATCCCGTCTCAAGTGATAGGTTCAATTGGACCACACACGTCAGTGTGAATAATTTGTAGTGGTCTTGTCGCCCTTGTTCTTTCTACATCAAAAGGTTTGCGCGTTTGCTTTGCTTTAACGCAGATTTCGCAAATATCCTGATTATTATTTTTTAATTTAGATAAAGAATCCAAACCTTCGCTTAAATTCGTTACCTTTCTCATGTTTGCAAAGCTTAGATGACCTAGCTTTCGGTGCCACTGTATTATTTCCTTCTTAGTCGTTAGTAAACTTTCTATTCTATTTTCCTCCTTGATGTTTATGCCGTATAATCCGTTTTGTCCTCTTGTTCCTTCCAATACCGTTTTTTCATCTTTAAGTATTGTGACCTTGTCTTTTATAAATCTTACCTCTCCGTTATTTCGTGTAATAGCATCTACAGATAATAGATTCTTTGTTAATTCTGGAATCAGAATAACTTGTTTTAATGTACAGTTTTTGGCTGCAACTTCTCCTACGCCTTTACCTTGCATTGTTACAGACCTCTTCGCGGTCGAAATTTCGGTATCTATTGGTTTTAAATTTTTTAAGAGGCTGATATTATTAGTCATATGGTTTGAGTCTCCTGAATCAACTATCCATATATTATTTTTAGTTTTATTATTATTGGCAAGAAAGCATACCTTATCGGTAGTATATCTAGCTGTAGCTGCGGTTTGATGCTTTCTGAAATAGCAGTCCTTTTCCATGTGGTTCGTTTTTTTGCAAATACCGCATTTTCGTGTTGAGTTATTTCCGGTAGCATTGAAAAAACTGTCCTTGTTCCATCCTTTAGTGCGATTATTGTTTACCGTCCGCTGTCTACAATGCTTAGCTGTATGATTGAGACCGTTACATTTATAACATTTTCTTACAGAGGACTTGAAAGCTATATTTTCTTGAGAATTTTCTTCCTGTTTTAGCCTAGTTTCTTCAAGTTGCAATCTACTTATTAAATTTGTTAGAGTTTTATCAATCGACGGCGTGGAATCCCACGCACTCGCAAAATGTCTATATGAGTCAGGAAGAGTAGCTAATATTTTGGTAATTAACATTGTATCGTCTATTTTTTGATCCAACGCATTTAGACGGTAAGCCAGATTTTCGAGAGTACAGTATTTTCTCTATATAAGCTCGGAACTCGTCCACGATATAGGCAAATATCATATCCCCTCTACTTATCCCCACTGCGTACCGTTAGAACTAAGCACTCGCTGTATCGGCGAGTATGCCTTCCTATGGGCGGTTCCCCAAGATAGCGGCGCGCTTGACGGTCGGTCGTCGAACATTGTCATACGATACGGGCTCAAATTACTAAGGCAACACTAGTGCAATAATACAAATTTTTTATTTTTCCTTTTCTTGTTTTGAAACTTTTAACATGTCTGTGACAGTTTTCTGATTTAACTAAGATCAAGTACAACATAATTTTTATTATTGTTTTTCATAAATTATAATATACATTTGACCTTTCTTTAAAGTGTATCCTCATCTGAAAAAAGGAATTATAATTTAATTGACCTATCATTTATTTGCCGAAATCGTGAGACAACTCAGAGTAAAATAAGTTGGTTAAACAGTTCAAATTCGCAAGTTGTATCTTTTTGAGTCATATCACTATTGCAGTAAACGAGCGATACATACATATATGTACTGAAGTTATGACACGATTTAACTAGTACATATACAATATTAAATCAACAACGAAATTTATCTTTATTTTTGTTCTTCCTTTTTTCGAACTTCATCAACATATTCGTGACAGTTTTCTGATTAAAATGACACCAAATACGATATACAATTTAGGTCCTATTTACTAACGCAATAAGAAATCAAAGGCATGCATCGTTCAAGTGACTCCACGTCGGCTGTATCGAAACACAGGCGATGTTTACGCGAGCCTATACAGAATCAGTATTTCATTCTGCGACCTCTACCAAGAGAGGTAGAAGTCAGAATTAGAACACCGATTTCGTATAGGCTCGCATAAACATCGCCTGTGTTTCGTTACAGCCGACCCGAAGCGAAGGAAGCGATAGCAAATTCGGCGATGCTCGGCCGCTCAGTCCCTCTTTGTCATATGCTCGCTGTTCTTTTTTATACTCGCCGCCTCCAGTAGGCGTCAACAAAGTATCAAGAATCGTTTCTCGTCCACGATACAGCCGAGCGTTGAGCCCCGAGAGCGTCGCTTCTATAGAGACAATACTGTACTTACATATGTTGAAACGTCGCTTCCCTTTGGATAGGAGTAGTTGAAAAATTCTTGCAGTAGCGAACATTTAGTCTGTTCTGAATCCTTTCCATATATTGCCGTTAATTTTTCAAACATTTCTTTAGACGACTTACAGTTCAGTAGATGCATTTGAGGCTTCCTCTCGATCGACATAATTATGGTTTTCTGGGATTTTGCATCCAAAAGATCCCACTCCTCCTTCTGTTTTTCAGTCCAGTTATATTCAGGCACCTTATTTCCGGTCACTATATCGAACACGTTCGACGATTTAAAGAAGATTGTTACTTGAAATTTCCATATTTGGAAGTTGGTTTCGTCTTTTAGTTTTTCGATTATTTCTATTTCAGTGGTATGACCGTTACCCGTAGCCATCTTTTAAATTTTTCCTCTAACACGTGTTCTCGAATTTTCGAAACTCACTCACTTTAACTTTTACTGTTTTTTGAATTTTTACTTTTAGTTTTAATTTTTATTGAGCACCTGGGCCCATAACCTGTTAAAACTTTTATATTAGGTTTTTATTATTTTAGGCGACAAGCAAATTACTTTGTTCCTGTTACAACGGCTCACGCTTTACTTCGAGAGCATTCCTCACGACGCGATACATATTTATTTGCATACATACAAACATACCTACATACATACATACATACATACAAACATACATGGTAGATATATTTGGACAATAGATGTCATGAGTCTGTTTATTTCGTGCGTAGATCGCGTACTGCCTTACCGATTTCAGTTATTCTTAACACAGAAGACTTTAAAATTGTTCTGCAGCTCTCCTCAATCAAATTCATGGCACATATCAATTAATGACTAAAAAGGATTATGTTGTAAAAAAATTTGCTGCGCATATTTGTTCGTTTTGAAGAAAATCAATTTAACAAGTAACACGTTTGAGGCGAAAACGCGCTCTTCATTCACGCGCCCGAGAAAGCGATATGCGTCGCATAAGTTCTGGCTAATCTAAACAAACTCTTCAGTCTCGCGTTCGGTAAGGGCGAAAGGCGATAAGCACTTTTCATAAACAGTTTACCACTTCCAGCTCTACATTAGCTTTTCATTAGTTCTCATGCAATCTTTCTCTGCAACGCATCGTGATCGGTCTCCTTGCTGTACGTCTTGTGATATTTCTTACAAAGTTAAGTTCAATTTAGTTAGTTCATTTTTAGTGTAGTGATTTTGTTCTTTGTGCAGTTACATTATTCTTAGTGTAGTTACTTTAGTGTATGCAATAATTTTAATTTAGTTACTTCGAACATGAGTGTAAACATAACGAAAAGACATCTGTTCAATTTCTGGATGAATTCATCCAAAAAGAGTAGTGATGAAGTAACTTCGTTTATTTTAAATAAATACAATATATGTAGAAAGGGGAGAAGCAGGGTGCATCGGCGAGTACCTGTGTACGCGGCATGACCGGGCCGAAGCTCGTCGCGAAACAAGAGTGCGTTGACGAGATGTTTATCATCGCAACGGGCCAAGCGTGGCCACCTAAGAAAAGCGCTGATAACGATCGACAGTCAGTCGAATGGCGAAAGTCGAAACGAGAAAACGTATATTTAAAAATACAGGCGTACGATATTAATTGCAGTTTAGTTTAACCCTTTCGCGCCGAGCGCCGCATATATGCGGGCATCCACTCGACGACCTGTGGGTACGGGCGCCGCATATTCGCGGCATCCACGCCACGACTTCTGGGTACGAGCACCGCATATATGCGGCATCCACTCGACGACCTGTGTGTAAGTACGGGCGCCGCATATGCGCGGCATCCACGCCACGACTTCTGGGTACGAGCGCCGCATATATGCGGCATCGAAATAATCTGTACGAGTGCCATCTATAGTCGATGGCAAACATTTTTCGTTATCGGCAGAGCATTTTCCGTTGATTTTATTGACATATTGGATTAATAATTTCTTAAAACTTTTTAAAACTGCTCTTTGTCGAAACCACATCCAAACGTATTACGCAATAAACTACAAACATCAAGGCGATCGTTTACTGTTTTATACCAAGTATTCTATCGAATCCATTCGGCAGTAAACGATTTTACATATTTGGTTTTTACAGGAATTAGGAATAGATCGGCTTAAGGTATAATTCTTAACTCTTAAAAATTAGAATTTTCAGGTTAGGATTTTGTTTGAAAATGGATTTACAAAAATAGTTTAGGCCCTTTCAGAATGAGTACAATGCATAAAAATAGTATTATGTTTGAAACTGAAGTAACCGATTCTGAAAATGAAAATAATGTCCACCGGTGTAAAAGACGACGGAGAAATAATATATGCAGCACTTCGGAATCAGAAGCAGAGTTAATTGACGATAATACAAAGGACACCCAGTGCAACACAACATGGACATCGAAAAATTTCGCACCAAGGATTCATAAATTTTCCTCAAAAAATTCAGGACTGAAGAAGAAAATGGGAAGATCGTCAAAAATTATCGATTACTTCGAACTATTTTTTTATCAAGAGCTCGTAGAATATATTGTAAATGAGACCAATTATTACTCGGCTCAAAAGAGCAATAACAACATGGACACTCAAAAAAACACGACACTAGAGGAAATGTATTGTTTCTTTGCGTTGTCACTACTCATGACACGTAATAAAAAACTAGCGTTACACGAGTATTGGAGTACAGATAAATATTTACGCAGTAGTATTTTTAGTGAAGTAATGACCAGAGATCGGTATCTTTGGATACTACAGATGATTCATTTTACCCGCCAACAAGGGCCCGCTGATAATCGTCTATATAAAATAAATAACCTAATAAACATGCTACGAAAATCGTTCTGCAACACATTTTATCCGTATGAAAAAGTTTGCATTGATGAAAGCTTGATGTTATACAAAGGTCGCCTTTCCTTCAAGCAGTACATTCCTTCGAAAAGGAATCGATTTGGAATAAAATCATACATACTCTGTGATTGCAAAACGGGCTATGCCCAAGACCTTATAGTTTACGAAGGAAAGTCAACTGTTACAGAAAGTGACATCAGCGGAATTGGAAAATCAGGTGCAATTGTTTTATCACTCTTGCAACCATACTTAGGCCAAGGTCACACACTATACACTGACAATTTTTATTCAAGTCCAGCATTATTTAACTTTTTACACGATAACTGTACGAATGCATGCGGCACTGTAAAAAAAAGACGTCAAGGAATGCCGAAGATGGAAGAGCGACTGAAAAAAGGAGAGGCATGTTTTCGTGCAGCAAAAAACTTGTTAGCGATGAAGTGGATGGATAAGAAGGAAGTTTACATGATTTCAACTATGCATACTGCACATTTTGAAGCAGTATTGAAATATGGAGGGAAACAGACTGTCCAGAAGCGTGTATGCGTCATAGATTACAATAAATCAATGGGAATTGTAGACAAGGTGGACATGGTACTTACTGAGTACCGTAAATTCAACGCGGAAATCACTAAAGTGGTATCGGAAATTTTTCTTCCACCTCATGGACATCTGTGTGTGGAATGCATATTGTATGTACAAACACTATCGTAGAGAAACAATATCGATGGCAAAATTTCATTTGACGCTGATAAAACAGATAGTCGAAAAGTATCGTCACAATTCAACGGGACGTCAAGGCAGACCCGCTGATAATCCGATGAGGTTAACCGACAGGCATTTTCCCAAATTTTGTAATCCGAAAAACAGAAGACGGAGATGTGTAATTTGTAGCAAAAATGACAAAAGAACGGATTCACGGTATGATATATTAGTTTTTACATATCTTTTACATATTTTACATATTTTATTACATATTTTTTACATATTTTTTACGTATTATATTTACATATTATATTTTAATAATTTTCGTCTCGTTATTAATTATATTAAACATTTAATCGTTAAGCTTTGTAATTATATAAATACCTATGTTACCTATAATTTTGTATTTTGTATTTTAATAATTTCGTAAGTCTTTTCATATTAAAAATGTAAATATACTTATTACATTAGAGTAATGATTGTTTTATTCAGCACAGTTCCTATTTAAGACTTAGAACAACATATATACAGAAACACGCGCACTGTGCATATTTCCGGCGCGAGCCTCCGTTCAGTGACGGTACTTCGGCGGACGGGGCTGCCGTAGCGAAAGGGTTAAAGCGTTTAAGTTTGGTGTAGTTACATTCAGTTTAATTTGTTTATGTTAAGCTACAAAATAGTGTTCATTTAAATAATATTCATATCTGTTATTACTTTCCTGATCCTACATATATGTATAGGATTTTTTTCTTTAAGCGGCGGTGGTTTGATAAATCGGTATTTTATATGCACGCGTTACACTCGTTACACTCTTTTCGCTCTTTCTCTTAGTATGCTCTACAATATCTGAACTAATTCCCGCGGGTCACTCGTATTTATTTTGCTCCATACATGTACACCTACGTACGCGGTTGCCGAACTTTTCGGTCTTTCTCTCTTTCTCACTATTGTCTGTCACTTTTGGGTTATTCACCCATCAGCTGTTCGGTCGTTCGCTCACCGCGTGTTGATGGTTTTTTCGCTCGTGCCGGACAGCGAACGATTCGCTGTTCGGTTGAAATTTATACGCGATTTAATAATTTCATTTCTTGTGGTTACTACTGGCACGGTTCCCTACATATGTGAACCTGATGCGAAAGCAATGTCTGACCTACAAAAGTCAGTTTCGTGCTTTATAACAAGACTTAAAGCAAAGTGGGAGAAATGCAACAGGCATTTGGACAGATTTGTTTCCAACAATGAAAATTGGCTAAATTTGGAATTTTTGTTACCGAGTAAAATTCTATCCTTCGCACAGTCATCTTCAACATCAAGATCAAAAGCTGGAAGACCCGAAATACCATTTGGTCAATGTTCCAGTCCGGTGAAGAAACGAAAGGTGAAACACCTGTTAGAGACGAAAAGTAAGCAAGAGGTTTTATTAGCAGTAGAATTAAGCCTGAGAGCATCAGGAAAAAGAGATGCAGCAGTACTTGTTAGGGAATTATCTCAAGGTTCTCCTCAAGCAGCGACACATATAAAGAAATTAAGAACCGTTTGTAATCGAACGAATGCGAACGCAACATTAAACGGTGAACAAGCACTTGCGCTTGTGGTCAACGCAAAGTTGAGTACCAATCAATATAAAATGATTCGAAAACAGTGGAAAAGTCTCGGAAATAACGGTTACCCTAGCTATGAAATTATTAAGCGTGAAAAGCAAAAGTGTTATCCTATTGAGTCATCTATAAAAGTTACAGAAGATTCAGCAGAAGTAAAGGTGCAAAATTTAATGGATTACACTATTCAACGTATTTACTCTCTAAAAGAAGATTTCTTGAAGAACATGTCAAGTGATTTAAGTACTTCTTCATTTTTTCTAATCGCTAAATGGGGTTGTGACGGTAGCTCTAACCAAATCCGTTATAAACAAAAATTTACAAATCCGGAATCTGACGATGAATATTTATTTGCTATTTCGATGGTCCGTCTTTAGCTGTATTATTTAGATTCAGATAAAAATAAAACTATTATTTGGTTCAACCCGAATCTTTCTTCCGTAAGGTACTGTCGACCGATTAAACTATTATATAAAAAGGAATCTGCAGACTTAATAAAATTTGAGATAGACCAAATTAAATCACAAATAGATGAACTTCGACCTGTGAGCGTAATGTTTGAAAGTACTAAAATACTGGTAACATGTCAATTACTCTTCACAATGGTAGATGGTAAAATATGCACTTCACTTTCACAATATACTTCTAGTCAAACCTGCTATATATGTGGCGCGAAACCATTGGAAATGAATCAAGCTATAATTAACAAACCAGTAAGCAATGAAATGTTTCATTTTGGCATATCTCCATTACATTCATGGATTAGGTGCTTTGAATGCTTACTGCACATAGCCTATCGACTGGAAATTAAAAAATGGCAACTACGTTCAGCAGTTGACAAGGAAAAGGTTGCCAGTAGGAAGAAGGAAATACAAATTAAATTCAAAACCGAAATGGGCCTTTTAGTGGATGTTGTAAAGCAACTACGAATGACGGAAACACTACTAGAAGATTTAAAAAAAAAAAAAATACCGACACTTCGGCAGCAATTACCGGAATTGACAAAACTTTAATTCATCGATTTCGAGTAATTTTAGAAACCATATCCACCACTTCACAAATGGATTCCAATAAATTTGCTGCGTATATTGAAGAAACAAGAAAATTATATTTAAAATTATATCCTTGGTATTATATGCCGTCAACTGACCACAAGATTCTTGTCCATGGAAGAGATATATTAGACAACTGTATTTTACCATTAGGACAATTATCAGAAGAAGCCCAGGAGAGTAGACATAAGGACTATAGACGTTATCGAGAAATATTTACACGAAAGAATTCGCGAATATGTACCAACAGAGATATATTAACCCCTTCAGACCCGAATTTTTTGTCGTTTAGGAAAAAATTATTTTTATACTAAAATTAACTTAATTCATGTGAATAAAAGCAACAATATACTTTTTACAAAAATATTTACTCATTTATATATAATTTTTAAATGTACATTTTAATGGACATATGGTCCTTATTCAAAATTTGTAGCATAGGAGATCTTGAGTAAAATTTGTATGAAAAAAAATTCTCTTACTATATTATAAATAATTTATTATTATATTATAAATAATTGCTTTTGAATAAGCAGTTATATATATGTATATATAATTATTATTTTCTGTGAAATCTTTCAAAACAATTCCTCTCTTTTACTAAACACAAATGGACACGACATTTGTCACAATAAAAATGTGTCCTTCCTTTGCATAATGACATCTTGCATCGTGTTGCTTCTTTTTTATCATCGATTTGGGGCATATGGTCCACATTATCGTGTTGAATTTCTCTTATTGGTCTTTTCTCACAGCAACGAAATTTTCTTTTTCTGTCCGGTGTAATTTCTCCTTCACTTTTTGAAGGACGACCACGTTTCTTTACATTTACAAGCTTGTTCTTATAAATTAAACTTTTGGAAACGTGCATACGAAGTTCCAACAAATCCATAATATCTTTTTTATGAATTTTAGCTTCGATGCAATCTTGTTTATACTCTATCCAACTATTAGATAGAGCAAAATCCACAAAATGCATAATTAATCGAAGGGTCCATTTTCGAGATCTAATATATATGCGATATAAACTTATATACATATCGAGCAGATCAACTCCTCCCATGTTGCTGTTATATTGCCTAACAACTTCAGGTCTATCAATTTCGATATATGCTGATTTTTGCTTATCCCACCGTTTTGCTTTATCAATTGTTCCAGTGCCAACAAAGTTGGAAGCCATATGAACTGGTTTGTTGTCCAGCCACTTTACCATGATAATGCCATCCTGACTAACTAGATCTTCGGAATAGCCTCTTTTCTTCTTTTTTATATCTTTATCAGATATAAAATGTGGTTTATAAAACCTATTCATACGAACTGTACCAGCAGCATACATTTTCAATTCCAATAATCGCAGAAGAAGAGCATTAGAGTTGAAATAATTGTCAAAATACACTGTATGACCTTCTTTCTTTGTGATTTCTAGTAATTCTAAAACAATTGCACTACTCTGGCCATATTTTTTCACGTTGTCTCTGTTTATTTCAGTGGTACTACCTTGATATGGTATAAAATTGTGGGCAAGTCCATTTGGACTGCATAATACAAAAATTTTTAATCCCCACTTACATGGTTTATTTTGAGCATATTACAACATGTTTATTTTTCCTGTAAATGGGATCATTTGTTCGTCTATGGAAATATTTTGTCCAATTTCTAATTCCTTACAGCGCTTTAGCACTGCATCCATAATAGGCTTGACCTTGTAAAATTTATCTGTGCAAGCGTTAGGCCTTTCTAAATTATTCACCAAATGTAGCATCGTCCGTAGCTGAAAGAACCTATTTTTTGACGTTTTCCAAGAAAATATTTATGCCAAGGACGGAACTCCAGTACATTCGTATGCGTGGGAACTTATTTAGACATCCAATCATAATATGTAATCCAAATAAAGTTTCAATTTCAATAACATTTGTTGGTTTGAATCGAGTTTGTCCTTGTTGAAGTGCGTATATGTTTGTACATTCGGCCATCTGTTCAAAAATTTCATCTGTTATATATTTAGAAAAATATTGCATAGGATCCAATACAATAGAATCGCCAATTTTGTCATTCTCTATCCATTCGAATTTTGGTACATCGGGTGTTTGTTTCCTCCATCGTACTCTTTTCTTATTTCGAAAACCTTCTGTAGTGGGCTCTGGATTTAAAATTTCATCTTCTCTACTGTCTCCGATTTCCTCAACTTCCCAGATCTTACTCTTTCATCTTCACTTTCTTCTGTCATCAATATCCGAATCATCCCCATTTTCCAACAATTCTAATAGTTTATCTACATATTTTTCATTTTCTAAATTAGATTTATTTAGTTTCTTATTCATCTTGAAGGATAAAATAATCTGCAAAAATATTTTCAAGAATTGTATGTCTAACTATTACACGCAAAAAATTCAAATCGAAAACTTTGTACAGTGTTTCCACTGATTGGGACAGGATGTACATTAGGATGTACATATTTTTTATAGAGGTTATAATACGAAGCCAAAGTAAATATCTTTTGTACAATTTCATTATTACGTAGACCCATACATACTTTAGTGATGTGTATATCTTTTGACACTCATTTGAAAAAATAAGAACGAAAAACTAACAATATTTGCTACTTACTGCTGTCACGGCCATTCGAATTTCAAACTTCTCACATAAGAAGCACTATAACTCAACACACAAAAATCAGATGGCGTTATAGACGTTTTCTTTCATGTTAGATGATCACTTGTAGGTACATTAGGTGTTGAAACGAAGTTTAAACCTATACAGCATAAAATACAGCACGAAAAGTGTTATGTACATTACAATGTGCATGGGGCCCGAAGGGGTTAAATAGATGTCTCAGTCTCGTCTGAGCAACCGTGGCGATAGGACGTTTCGCGTGGTATCAACACAACCGCTCCGGCATCGTATTATTGTTGTTGTCTCTCGCCGCTTGGCTTCGGCCTCGCCAAGAATAGTACGCGCACAAGACATATTTTTATTAAGAGAGTTTATTTCTGAGTACAGGAACCTCTCCTTGTGATCATGGATTCAAGTAATGTTCCTGGTGGCTCTCAATCCACCTATGCTAGTGTGATGCAGAATGTGAGCTTTCCTTCTAAGGATCAAGCTATTGTCCTCGACGCCTTTGAAGACATTTCCATAAAGGAATATGTAGAATCAAGCCGGTCCGCCTTTTCCACTCGCTTCTATTGCTCTGCTCCACCGATCACATTCATCAAATCTCTCATATACACACACACACACGTACGCCCTGAGACAATACCTACACACATTCTGCATTTCGTCTTCGCAACCTGGCAATCGATTAATTTATTTACTCGGTATGAACAGCTGACTTCGACTCCGGTCATAGCAATCGATTGACGCCTCACGCACTTTCACAACAACACACTCACATTCACATCCCCACACTCGGCCATCTTGCATGATATCTGCACTCAGATATCCATTGTTCATTCTTCACCTGATGAGATATCACTAGCTTCATTAACCCACGGTTTCATGTGTTCCGCCAAAGTCGATGTCTTTTGCGGACCTTCGTGCTCGTCCACCTTACACACAATGAAACGCTCATTCCTTAGGATTCTTTCAACTCGATACGGACCTAAGAATTTGGACGCAAATTTCAAACCCGGGCCGTACTGGGTTCTCTTTATAGCAACCAACTCTCCCTCTTTATATTGCCGAGCTTTCTTTCTATGTTTATCGTATCCGCGACGATTTTCACGCTGAATCTTCAAAATATTTTCCTTAGCTTGATTCCGCAGCTCTTCCCTGTTACTTTGAAACAAATCAATCCATTCCTTCTCTATTAACTCAGGAATATCCGGATTATCCTTCATTCGTGGGTATGTCCCAAACAGTAACTTAAACGGCGTTGTACCGATGCTCCTATGAGGTGTTGCATTTAAAAATTTCTGCGCAATATCCAAATAGCGATACCACTCTTCCGGTTTCGGTGCCGACAACTTTGTCACTACTGGTATTAGCGTTCTGTTTACGCGCTCCACTTGACCATTAGCCCTTGGCATTCCCGCAGTTATTAAAATTTGTTCTATCGCTTCCAATCTACAATATTCCCGAAAATCATGAGAAGTGAAAGCTGTACCCTGATCAGAGATAATTCTCCTGGGATTTCCAAAAATTGACGATTGTTTTTTCAAACGTTCTATCACTTCGGAGGTAGCTGTAGTCTTCGTGGCATACAGCCACACAAACTTCGAAAATGCATCCACAACTACAAAAATATGCTTATAAGTCTTTCGCGTAGATGGAAGTGGTCCAAGATGGTCAATATGATATGTGTCTAATGGCACATTTCCCTTGTCAATAGAATGTAAAAATCCTTCCTGTCTCCCATGTTTCCTTTCAGCAAGAATACACGGAACACAATTACGCACCACTTTCTCTACTTTTGATTTTAAATCTGCGAACCAATCTTTCCTAACTAGTGTCTCCGTTTTCGCACTCCCGATATGACCGTTCTCGTGTACACGTCGAATGATTTGCGATTGCATAATACGCGGCACTATTAATTTTACGTCACTCTCAATTTCTTTAAATAAAAGGCCATTCCGCACTACAAACCCACTTAACTGTTTTTCATTCACTGCTTCAACAATCGGTTTCAAACTCTCATCCTCACACTGCGCTTTACGTAACCTCACAATCATACTATCCTCACATTCGTCTACTAACATACACTTTGGAAGCGGATTCCGGCTTAACGCGTCTACATGTCTTAAACTATTTCCCGAACGGTGGTCTATTTTATAATTAAACTCCTCTAATAAAAGAGCCCATCTCGCAATTCGAACGCACAAATCTCTCTTACGCATCGTTAATGTAAACGCCTGACAATATGTAACTATTTTAACTCCTTGCACTACGCCGAAATTCTGAAAAAGCCGTGCCAAACTCGGCCGACGGAATGGTCGCGAGACGGGCCGAGCGGCGACGCTCGAGTGGTGCAATTTGATACACGATACCTTACGATTGAGGTACAGAGTCCCGCGCTCGTATTTACTTCACGTGATGGAAATCTTTGGAAATTCAAATGAAATTGAATAAAAAACTTGTAAAAAATACTTTAATAATTACAAATCATAAGAAATAAATTTTAATATAATATAATAATAATAGGAAATAATAAAGACGGTAGTAATATTTTAAATGAAATCAATGCCATTATCATCAGATCTAAAAATTAAAAACAAAATATAATTAAACAATTAAATATCAACAAACAATTAAGTTAAAAAATACTTACGAGTCTAAAATTAGTAATCTTGCTTGGTATGATATGTTATAAAACAGTCCGGTACATGCAAGGCCACCTTACATTTGGAACACTCCCACGTCGTTTCACTTCGTCGGTTGTGTTTGTAACACACTTTACATTGTTTGGTTGGATGTTGCTTTGCAGGAGTTGGAGGAATATGTTTTGGGAAATGAGCCCAATATTGTGCTTGTAAGCGCATTGGTGTTTCAAGTCCTGCAGATGTCATGCGTCTGGTATAGTCTGGCAGCTCAACATATTTTAAAATTGCCTCGGCTATATCAATTCTATAATTCACATACGATTGTCTTCGTGAATCTTGTGATTGTTTTTGTATAATGTATGTATTAAATAGCGCCATATCGGACATGTAAAAAAAGAGTTCCTTATAACCCTTTAGATATTTCCTCATAATGGGAAAACATGACAACATTTGGTCATTGAGATCAATACCACCCATTCCACTGTTATATTCAATCACGCAATTTGGTCTCAATTTCGTTCTACCTTGCCTATCCATCACCTCGGTAAATTCTGCCAATGTGTGTTTGGTTGTCAACATATAAACTTCACGTTTATCTTTCCATCTTATAGCCAACAACCCATTGCACGTTCTATATACACATTCTCCTGGTTTTAATTTCTTTGTTGGAAGATCTTTCGGCATATTTTTCCTGTTATTGCGCACAGTACCGATGACATTAGTTTTTTTATTGTGCAACTATAGAAAGAGAGCGGGTGAGGAATACCAGTTGTCAATATATAACGTGTATCCTTTATTCAACAGTGGTTGTACCAATTCCATCACAACATTTTCTGATGCACTGTCACTTGGGTCAATTTTATCTTGGCCAATATACAGGGTGGGTCACCACATTTTGCCATCTAGATTTACGTCATTATTATTACACATAGCAAACAATGTTACAGATGAAGTTGAATGGTTTTGAGAGGGGCACATTCTAATGGTACATTTTTTTTTGTAGGCGGACGTGTAAAGGACATATGAAGGTCATTAATGTTTTTTTAAATGGAATCATATACTTTTTATTGCATCGGCTGATGCTCCTTCACATTCTTTACAAAAAAGTATTAATCTATTTGTGTAAAAAAATCATTAGTTTAGGAGATATTTTAATTGTAATGTCTTATTACAGAAAAGGTTCAATGTGGCGGCCATTTGCGTCAGAACACTTTCTGAATCGAGAAATTAATGACTCACTAACATTGCGTAGTGTATCTGATGTTATTTTGTTACACTCATTGATGATACGATCCCTCATATTGGCCATTGTAGTCGGAGGCTCGGCGTACACTTTATTTTTTAAGTAGCCCCACAAGAAAAAGTCGAGAGGCGTTAGATCTGGTGATCTTGCCGGAAAATGAATGGGGCCACCTCGCCCTATCCAACGATTTGGGAACATTCGATTTAATGTATCCCTTGCTATTCTTGAATAATGAGCAGGGCAACCATCCTGTTGAATCCACATTATTTGTCGTGTATGAAATGGTAAATTATCTAAAAATGTCCATAGAGTGTTTGATAAAAGATCTGCATATTTTGGTCCAGTTAGTGATCCTTCGATAAAGTACGGACCAATAAGTCTATCGCCGAGTATCCCCATCCAAACATTTACACTCCATCGATGTTGATTATCTACTTGTCTAAACCAATGAGGGTTTTCCGTTGACCAATAATGCATATTACTTGAATTCATTGATCCATTTTTCGTAAACGTTGCTTCGTCTGTGAACATAACATTGTTGAAAAAGTAGTCTCTTTGAGAGAGAGCCCAATTACAAAATTCTAAACGTTGAAGATGGTCATTTGCGGTCAGTTCTTGAACCTTTGATACATGATATGAATGGTATTTGTGCCTTTTGAGTATGCGTAAAATACTTTTGCGGCTAATTCCAGCTTGTCTTTCGATTTCGTGAGAGCTGGCGGATGGATTTAATGTAATTGCGGCTAACACTACAATTTCGTTTGCTTCATTTGTTATTGTTTTATTACGGATTGCCTTTTTGCGTAATAATTGCCCCGTCTGGTGGAATTTTTTAAAAACATAATCAAAGGTACAACGTGATGGATGATTTCGTTGAGGAAATCTATTGGCGTATAATCTTTCTGCATGTGTAGCACTTTTCCTAGCTTCAAAATAAATTGATAACATGTCTATCCTTTCTTCTTTAGAATACTTCATTAGAAAGAGATAATTCACCGTATCGCCGTATTCACCGTATCAGAGACGTAGCAGAGACTAAATTTCACAATAAGTAGGAGAGCAAGAATTATCAACACAGAAAATGTAAATATTTACATTGATAATTCTTGCTCTCCTACTACATTATCACACTGAATTCATATTGACCAGAAAGTCGAGATTTCCTAACAAATTACAATTAAAATATCTCCTAAACTAATGATTTTTTTACGCAAATAGATTAATACTTTTTTGTAAAGAATATGAAGGAGCATCAGCCGATGCAATAAAAAGTATATGATTCCATTTAAAAAAACATTAATGACCTTCATATGTCCTTTACACGTCCGCCTACAAAAAAAAATGTACCATCAGAATGTGCCCCTCTCAAAACCATTCAACTTCATCTGTAACATTGTTTGCTATGTGTAATAATAATGACGTAAATCTAGATGGCAAAATGTGGTGACCCACCCTGTATATTTTAAATTTGCTGCAGAATCCAGTCTTTGATTCACACAGCTTATATATTTTTAATCCAAACCTGGCTCGTTTGGATGGATTAAATTGCTTATATGACAAGCGGCCCTTATATCGCATCAATGATTCATCGATACTCACATGTTCATTTAATGTGTAAATACTACCAAACTTGTCGTTCCAATAATTAATAATTGGTCATATTTTGTGAAGGCGGTCGTTGCTTTGGTTCTCTACATTATTTGCGAAATGCATCGTGATATCTGTGTGAATCTTTTCAACGGCATTACTTTACAAAAGATAGGAGTTTCGATCACTTCCCGCTTAGTCCAATGCATTTGGATATTCGGTTTCTTGACTTGTGTCATCAAAATACACAAAGCATAATACGCTAACATCTCATACTTGGTGACTGGAAACCAATTATCATCTACTTTTCGTCTTCTTCCGTTGTTCA